TAGGGCAACATCACGACAACCTTCTTCTGTCTTCTCTCCCCTTCCCCACATATAGCCGTCTCTCATGCCACGGACAACAAAAGAGTGTATGACACCATCACTGTTGCTTTTATCACGTGCTATTTCTTCCCCACTCCCCCCATGTACCCATTTCATAGCTCACGTGCAGCTAGACGACGTATGACGCCATCACGACAACCTTCCTCCCGTGTTCTCCTCTCCCCTTCCCCCCATGTACCCGTCTCTCAGCTTACGAATATCAAAATGGAATATGACGTCATCACACCAACCTTCCTCTCGTGTTTTTTCCTCCCCTCTCCCCCATAAACCCTTCTCTCAGCTCACGGGCAGCAAAATAGTGTATGACGCCATCACACCAACATTCCTCCTGTGTTCTTACCTTCCCTCTCCCTCCCTGTAGCGCTCTCTCAGCTTACGGGCGGTGTACGACTCCGTCGATATTTTTGTTTCTTTTTTATTATAATTATTAATTCTTTCCCTCAAACTGCAGATGGTCGTAAAACAGGCTGTAGATGGTTTTGAGAGGACCATCACTTCATTTGCACCAATGCGTCGACATGTAAGTAACACGTTACGTTGCTCAAAGCATTTGTAAGAGTCGTCTACATCTATATCATATATGCATAGTATGATATATTATTATCCTTCTATACTAACACGTGAACGAAATTGTTTATGTTCTTAACATTTTTTCATAGGAGGACAAAACGGCTATTGTGAACAACAACAACAAGCGCATAGCACAAGATGCCCCTCCACCCGTTCCCGCAACACCTTCGAAAACTGCTCAGCGTCGTGGTGGCCATGTAGGTGCTGCTTTGTTTTATTATTTGTATATTGATTGTTTAATGGTTTGGTTGTTTCATTCTTGTTTGTTTTTCCTCAACTATCTATTTTTAAGCATAATACGAACGTGTTTCGGTGGTTAATGTTTTTTTTCTCTATACTTGTACTTCTATTGCTTTCTGCACAGGACAGAAGTGGTGTTCCAAAAGTTTGATTGTAAGTTTGCGATTGTTTGCGTGTAAGAGTGGATGCAATGTTGTGTATGTATGAGTATGTGTGTAAGTACATATCCATGCATGTGTCAGACTAATTTTCAAATTGTAATTTAACGTATTTGTACTCTCCTTTTTTTGTGTGCAGGGCACAAGGGTCTAATCTGCAAACAGAAAGAATGGAAGAGGATGGAGAGAAAAGAGGGGGTAGAAGGGAAGCAGAAAGGAGAGAAGTATCAAAGGAAAACATAAGCGCAGAGAGGACAGAGTGAATAGCAATTATGCATCATTGATACAAGGCAGCTATACTTGTGTGCATTAACTTTGTGTGTGTACCGCATGCGTCGACTCCTTGTCCGTGGCGTCGTCCTCCATCTTCGTTACGTTTGTGTGTTTTCCATTGTGGTATTGTCATCGTGATGTTTTTTTCATTTGTGTCGTTTTTGTCGTTTGTGTCTTTTAACTTTATCACTGTTGATACGTGTCACCGTTTATCGTTTGTTGTTTGTGTGATTTTGTTGTGTGATGCTAGATTGTGTCGGGTCTGCGATTGAGATGGGGATCGTTGTTGGGGTAGCGTTGCTTGCCTTAGCATACCGGAACCATCTCTTTTGTAGCACCTGTGCATTTTAGCATTCACAAGTAGTACGTGATGCACTGTTCACTTTATCACTGTTGATACGTGTCACCGTTTATCGTTTGTTGTTTGTGTGATTTTGTTGTGTGATGCTAGATTGTGTCGGGTCTGCGATTGAGATGGGGATCGTTGTTGGGGCAGCGTTGCTTGCCTTAGCATACCGGAACCATCTCTTTTGTAGCACCGGTCCATTTTAGCATTCACTAGTAGTACGTGATGCACTGTTCACTTTATCACTTTTGACACGTATCACCGTTTATCGTTTGTTGTTTGTGTGATTTCGTTGTGTGATGCTAGATTGTGTCGGGTCTGCGATTGAGATGGGGATCGTTGTTGGGGCAGCGTTGCTTGCCTTAGCATACCGGAACCATCTCTTTTGTAGCACCGGTGCATTTTAGCATTCACTAGTAGTACGTGATGCACTGTTCACTTTATCACTGTTGACACGTATCACCGTTTATCGTTTGTTGTTTGTGTGATTTCGTTGTGTGATGCTAGATTGTGTCGGGTCTGCGATTGAGATGGGGATCGTTGTTGGGGAAGCGTTGCTTGCCTTAGCATACCGGAACCATCTCTTTTGTAGCACCGGTGCATTTTAGCATTCACTAGTAGTACGTGATGCATTGTTCACTTTATCACTGTTGATACGTGTCACCGTTTATTGTTTGTTGTTTGTGTGATTTCGTTGTGTGATGCTAGATTGTGTCGGGTCTGCGATTGAGATGGGGATCGTTGTTGGGGCAGCGTTGCTTGCCTTAGCATACCGGAACCATCTCTTTTGTAGCACCGGTCCATTTTAGCATTCACTAGTAGTACGTGATGCACTGTTCACTTTATCACTGTTGACACGTGTCACCGTTTATCGTTTGTTGTTTGTGTGATTTCGTTGTGTGATGCTAGAGTGTGTCGGGTCTGCGATTGAGATGGGGATCGTTGTTGGGGCAGCGTTGCTTGCCTTAGCATACCGGAACCATCTCTTTTGTAGCACCGGTGCATTTTAGCATTCACTAGTAGTACGTGATGCACTGTTCACTTTATCACTGTTGATACGTGTCACCGTTTATCGTTTGTTGTTTGAGTGATTTCGTTGTGTGATGCTGAAGTGTGTCGGGTCTGCGATTGAGATGGGGATCGTTGTTGGGGCAGCGTTGCTTGCCTTAGCATACCGGAACCATCTCTTTTGTAGCACCTGTGCATTTTAGCATTCACTAGTAGTACGTGATGCACTGTTCACTTTATCACTGTTGATACGTGTCACCGTTTATCGTTGGTTGTTTGTGTGATTTCGTTGTGTGATGCTAGATTGTGTCGGGTCTGCGATTGAGATGGGGATCGTTGTTGGGGTAGCGTTGCTTGCCTTAGCATACCGGAACCATCTCTTTTGTAGCACCTGTGCATTTTAGCATTCACAAGTAGTACGTGATGCACTGTTCACTTTATCACTTTTGACACGTGTCACCGTTTTTCGTTTGTTGTTTGTGTGATTTCCTTGTGTGATGCTAGATTGTGTCGGGTCTGCGATTGAGATGGGGATCGTTGTTGGGGCAGCGTTGCTTGCCTTAGCATACCGGAACCATCTCTTTTGTAGCACCGGTCCATTTTAGCATTCACTAGTAGTACGTGATGCACTGTTCACTTTATCACTGTTGACACGTGTCACCGTTTATCGTTTGTTGTTTGTGTGATTTCGTTGTGTGATGCTAGATTGTGTCGGGTCTGCGATTGAGATGGGGATCGTTGTTGGGGCAGCGTTGCTTGCCTTAGCATACCGGAACCATCTCTTTTGTAGCACCGGTGCATTTTAGCATTCACTAGTAGTACGTGATGCATTGTTCACTTTATCACTGTTGATACGTGTCACCGTTTATCGTTTGTTGTTTGAGTGATTTCGTTGTGTGATGCTGAAGTGTGTCGGGTCTGCGATTGAGATGGGGATCGTTGTTGGGGCAGCGTTGCTTGCCTTAGCATACCGGAACCATCTCTTTTGTAGCACCTGTGCATTTTAGCATTCACTAGTAGTACGTGATGCACTGTTCACTTTATCACTTTTGACACGTGTCACCGTTTATCGTTTGTTGTTTGTGTGATTTCGTTGTGTGATGCTAGATTGTGTCGGGTCTGCGATTGAGATGGGGATCGTTGTTGGGGCAGCGTTGCTTGCCTTAGCATACCGGAACCATCTCTTTTGTAGCACCGGTCCATTTTAGCATTCACTAGTAGTACGTGATGCACTGTTCACTTTATCACTTTTGATACGTGTCACCGTTTATCGTTTGTTGTTTGTGTGATTTCGTTGTGTGATGCTAGATTGTGTCGGGTCTGCATTTGAGATAGGGATCGTAGGGATCGTTGTTGGGGCAGCGTTGCTTTCCACTGGGTTGGGTGGGTGTTGTCTCGTCAATTGTGTTGGGTGTTACATGTGACGACCAGTTGTTCCATTCGCCGTATTTATCGACGATTATGGAATGATTGGTTACATTTGGTTTCACTTCTTTTGGAGACTCTTATGTATCAGTGCCGTCATCTCCACGCCCTTGGAGCACTCCAAAAAAAATGTTATAAAATGAGTGCTTCAGGCGTTCAGAAAAGACGAAAAAATGCACTGTTCATTCGAGTCGACCGAAAAAAGGGCTACCAAATGTAAAGGGGTTGCTACGCAACCCAAAAATTGGCGGGGAGAGAAAGCAGACTGACAAGGAGGGTTCATGTTTTGTTTCGGGATTACCCCGATGTTCTGGGTACCCATTTTGTTGTAAGTCTTGATTTTGTTTTAGGAAAGTGGCACACACGCTTCGCATTACTGGTCAGAATCAGCGTTGATCGATTGACCTCCAGTCCAGCAGTTTGCACCACTTAGATCTCGTGCCGACCTTAGGAAGTTTGGGGGTGAGCAAACCTCAGCACTCTGGGGTGTTTCAGAAAATATTTGTATCTAGACATATATACCGTGAGTCACCCTTGTGCAAAGTGTGCACGTTTTCCCAAATGCAGATTTACCCGAATAACCACACATATGTAACACGTACTATTCTGCCCATTTCGCCTATTCGTTATTACGGGATTGGTTACCAGCTGTAACATTTCTACTTGCGAAGATAAGTTGATTCTCGAGCTTCCACATGCATCTTCGAGTCTGCCAGGAGGTGTCAGCAGGAACGGAATATACTCTCAACACACAAGCTCTTTTTCGGCATTTGCTGTCACCAGGGCTAGGCCTAGGTTGCGTGACTCCTTTTGCCAAAATACCATCGGAAAGTGGGAACACATCGAGATTACCTTATTAGCAGGCGTTGTACCTCCGCTGCTTTATGACTTAACTGGGAGGGGGGGAGAGGTCTGCAAGCATGAATCAAGAGGAGGAAAATGGCGGCGAAGAGTCCGTTTCTGCGGTGTACATGCGGGTACGCAATTGCCGGCGAAATCAAATTTGCGTTTCGAGGCTGAGCTTAGCCTCGTCTGGGATTAGCGAGACGGGACGATGTGCGCACCTGTATGTTATAGAAGAATGCAATACAGGCGCTGTCATGGACGGCGTTCAGAATCTAGATGTTGCCTTGTTGCAGAATCAAGGGCACCGTTAAATTAACGCTTCCTATCCTGTTTTCGTGCACTGTGCTTCACATCTGCGCGTGCACCTTTCTCCCCGTCCAGCCGTGGATGATGCTTGAAGCATGTAGGGTTGCCTTACAGGAACGGAAATCCTTATGTTTCTGAGTTATCGCAAAGGCTATTGTGCAAAGAATTAGAATCGAAGTTGGAGTCAATCCGAAAAGGCTCGGCCAGCAGCGCCCGCGCGGTTCTTTTGCGAAGGCTCATACAGCCTGGAAAAAGAAACAGATGAAAAACGCCGCTACCTTCTCTGTTTTACCAGCCGATTCACCAGCCGATTAGGAAAGGGGGGGTTTGCTGATAAAACGGAGGCATGGAAAGCGGGAGGAGGTTCAGAAGGAGTGAAAACCGGATTAAGTGTTCCCCCCTTCACCCTCCCTCAGAAGCAAGGGGAGCGGACGCTGATGACGAAGAGGAAGAGGAGTGAGCGGGAATCCTGACGCGTTCGCACATTCAAGTCACCTGCTAGGTCACCACCTGCCACCTGTCACCTGTCCACGTTACCGTGTTTCCATGAGCAGGAGCGGCAGGAGCAGATGCTGATGATGAAGCGCAAGAACATGGAGCAGCGCGAGGAGCTGACCACGTGGACGTATCAGTGCGGTGGTCCACTGGTCCATCCATGGGAATCCCACACCTCTCACCGGTCACGTGTCACCTGTCTGCTTCCCCGTGTTCCTCTGAGCAGGAGCAGCTGATGATGAAGCGCAAGAACATGGAGCGAGAGGAGAAGGAGGGTCGCCCTCACGTATATGTCCACTCGTCCACTGTTCCATGGGATTTCCACACCTCTCACCTCTCACGTGTCACCTGTCTGCTTCCCCGTGTTCCTCTGAGCAGGAGCGGCAGGAGCGGATGCTGATGATGAAGCGCAAGAACATGGAGCGCGAGGAGAAGGAGGGCCGACCATCAGCGCGCCAGAGGCGAGCTGCTGACGGCGCTGGCGCTAGTTTCGGTGGTGGCGGTGGTGGGGGTGGGGGTAACGGGTACCATGGGGAGGGTGGTGGCGGGTCGGAGCACCGAGCGTCTGGGGGTCAGAGGAGGCCGTCCTGTGGGCCCCTACCTGATGGTATGTCTCGTTCTGTTCAGTTCGACCCAAGGCCCTGCCTGCCGCTGGTGGTGGTGGTGGTGGTTACGGTGGGGGATGGAGAGGTAACGGGTACCATGGCGAGGGTGGCGGGTCGGAGCACCGGGCGTCTGGGGGTCAGAGGAGGCCGTCCTGTGGGCCCCTACCTGATGGTATGTCTCGTTCTGTTCAGTTCGACCCAAGGCCCTGCCTGCCGCTGGTGGTGGTGGTGGTGGTTACGGTGGGGGATGGGGAGGTAACGGGTACCATGGCGAGGGTGGCGGGTCGGAGCACCGGGCGTCTGGGGGTCAGAGGAGGCCGTCCTGTGGGCCCCTACCTGATGGTATGTCTCGTTCTGTTCAGTTCGACCCAAGGCCCTGCCTGCCGCTGGTGGTGGTGGTGGTGGTTACGGTGGGGGATGGGGAGGTAACGGGTACCATGGCGAGGGTGGCGGGTCGGAGCACCGGGCGTCTGGGTTTCAGAGGAGGCCGCTTGCGGGTCCCTGCCTGATGGTCCATCCCGTTCTGTTCAGTTCGACCGACTCAAAAGCACCCCTGCCTGATGGTCCGTCCCAATCAGTTCAGACACCCTCACTTTACCCCCGATTGAAGATGAGCGTTGAGTCTGTCTCGTTTTTGGCTGCTACTGCTAGGGGAGGCGTTTAGAGACCTACTGGAGCCGGGCAACCCCCTTTTTTCTTCCTTCACCTGTCTTTTTTCTAACGATTTTTTGCTCTCCTGCTTCCTCCTCACCAGGATGGATCGACTGCCCTTCTATGGGCGAGGCTATGGGGCTGCTGATCCCCGCCCATAAGCATGTGCATTTGGACGAGCTTTAAATCTTGACTCGTTCCCTGCACTCATCTAGGGACGAGTGAGAGGATCGGCAGGAAAAACTCGGCCGATGCGAGCCGAGTTTCACTCGACGAGTTTTTTCCAACTCGTTGGAGACTCGCGCCCCCCTGCATGAGTTTTTCCGGACTCTTGAGTCGACTCAAAAGTCAACTCGTTGGAGACTCGCGCCCCCCTGCATGAGTTTTTCCGGACTCTTGAGTCGACTCAAAAGTCAACTCGTTGGAGACTCGCGCCCCCCTGCATGAGTTTTTCCGGACTCGCGAGGTTTTTGGACTCGCCGAGTTAAAAAAAAAACTCGTCGCCACATTTGGGGAGGGGTTTACATATAAAAACCGAACATTGCAGTTCTAGGCTTCCGTTTTAGAAGCATGTCACGGCCTAATAGCTATTTGTAGCCAGCATCTACCTCTGGCACAGCCAAAAGAGTGGTGTTTTTTTTTTTTTCTTTAACGCAGATTGCGTTTTAGGGGCGGACCAGATCTAGGCTAGAGTTAGTTAAGTTCGAGGTTATTACAGCTGCGAGTCTTGATTAGGGTTTGTCTACTCTACAAAGGCTACTTCTTAGTAGCCGATCTAGCGCTGAAATGATGGCGAAATTCAAACAGGGGGTGAGTAGAGACAGAGAGAAATGAGGAATGAGAGGGACCCTTAGTGGCGGACCCTCGTGCGAACGGGGGGGGGAGGGGGGTGGGGGACTAAAAAATGACGGGCACGCAGCGCCGCAGGCTTAATGCGATTGCTGCGGCTGCCGATCTCGAGCGCGCTCCGAAAGCAGCCGTGGGTAACCATGCCACAGTGAGGAAAGGGGTAAACCAGGGGGTGGGGGAGAAAAGGAGGGGGGTGGGGAGTGCGGGCGATGGTGCCACTGGCGGGGACCCTCGGATTTCTGTGGGAGGTCATGAAGGAGCTGAGGTGGAGTGGGCGAGAATGGCACCTCTAGTGGTAGCGATCGTGGGGGTGGAGGGAGGGACCATTTGTGGTGAAGCTGAGGGAGGAGACTTGGCTATGGGTGGTGGTCGGACACTTGGGTGACAAGGGCACTCTTTATGTGTTATTCTACAACAAAACAATCTAGCGTGATAGTCGATGACGGTTTGAGCACCTAACGATTTAGCGTTCTAGTTCGGAATGTTACTAGAGAAGCTCAAATACATGTGTTCGTGTTGAGAAGTTTATCTGATTTTATTTTGGACGCAATGTTGTTGAATCGCATAGCAAACTGGCGCTGGAGAGACGTTCACGATGGAGCGTAAGACGAAACAATTCTGTGACGTTTATGTCTTACCTTTCATGGTGAACGTCTCGAGAATTTTACCTTTCATGGTGAACGCCTTGCCGGCGCCAGTTTGCGATGCAACCCAACAACGTTGCATCCAAAATAGAGTCAGATGAGCTTCCCGTTACGAACACACGTGTATGAGCTTTTTTAGTAACACTTATTTCGAGCTATTATTACACTCATTCATGACCAAGACGGCTCGTCTACTTGCACATGTATACATGCCAAGGTGCCGCTGGGGGAGGCGACCAGAGAGCTGGAGGATCGGGAAAGTCCGGCTTGTATCTCCACCTGTCCCTGTTTTGAGACGTCTCAAATCCAGCTTGTATCTCCACCTGTCCCTGTTTTGAGACGTCTCAAATCCAGCTTGTATCTCCACCTGTCCCTGTTTTGAGACGTCTCAAATCCAGCTTGTATCTCCACCTGTCCCTGTTTTGAGACGTCTCAAATCCAGCTTGTATCTCCACCTGTCCCTGTTTTGAGACGTCTCAAATCCAGCTTGTATCTCCACCTGTCCCTGTTTTGAGACGTCTCAAATCCAGCTTGTATCTCCACCTGTCCCTGTTTTGAGACGTCTCAAATCCAGCTTGTATCTCCACCTGTCCCTGATCTGAGCTCACTACTCCTTTTGTTTTCCGCTCTTGTCCCCTCAGGAATTGCCCCTCTATGGCCGAGGCCATTGAGCTGCTGATCCCAGCCAAGGCACCACTCCGGGAGGCGTTTAGAGAGGTGGTGGAGCCGGAAACACCAGCTTGTTTTTCTACCTCAAGTTCTGATGATTCCTTTTGTCTTCCTGCTTCCTTACCCCCCACCAGGGTGGATCGACTGCCCCTCTATGGGTGAGGCCATTGGACTGCTCATTCCCTGCAAAGCACCGCTGGGGGAGGCGTTTAGAGAGGTGGTGGAGCCGGAAAGACCAGCTTGTTTCTCCACCCGTCCCTGATCCGTCTATTCCCTTTATTTCCCTGCTTCCTTACCCCCCACCAGGGTGGATCGACTGCCCCTCTATGGGCGAGGCCATTGGGCTGCTCATTCCCTGCAAGGCGCCACTGGGCGAGGCGTTCAGAGAGGTGGTGGAGCCGGGCAAGCGGTGGAACGTGGAGGTGGTGATGAAGCACACGCGGAGCATGAAGAAAGACGTACGTGGTGGTGGGAGGGGTGGGGGTGGTGGCGGGGGAGAGATTGTATGTATGCAATGCCGTTAGTGTGGTTTGCATTGAGCACAACACACAAGCGGTGGAACGTGGAGAGGTGCTGATGAAGCACAAGAGGAGCATGAAGAAAGACGTAGGTGATGGTGGTGGTGGTGATGGCGATGGTGGTGAGGGTGTGCTGGTGAATAAGAGGAAGGGAAACTGTGAATATCTCTGTACTAAGAGGGGTGTGTGTGCCGCAAGAGGTGGAATGATGAGATGACGCTGAGGCAGTTGAAGAGCCTGCAGAGAAATTTGCATGGTGCCGAAGGGTGCAATTCGTTGTAAAAGGAAGGGAGGGAGAGAGGAGCCAAGCGGAAATGAAAGTCCGTGCTTGCCGGCGCTTGTCTCTTTCTTGTTCTTACCTTGTGTTGTGGTGGAGCAGGCGGGGGGCTGGTGATTTTCCTCAAACATATTCGGAGTGTAATCGAATCCTGTGTGTGTGTGTGAGCAGGTGGGGTTGGTGATTGATCTGACCAACACCACGCGTTACTACAACCCAAAAGAGTTCTTCAAATATAACGTCAAGTACCTCAAGGTGAGGACGTTCAAGGTGAGGACGTTCTCGCAGAAAGCGAGGCATGTGAAGGTGAGGTGAGGAGGTTCAGGGAGGGGGGAAGTGTGTGAGCAGGTGGGGCTGGTGATTACGATCTGACCAACACTATGCGTTACTACAACCCGAAAGAGTTCTTCAAGTATTACGTCAAGTACCTCTCAAGGTGCGGGTCTGGGAGGAAGGAAGTGTGTGAGCAGGTGGGTGGGTGATTGACTTGACCAACACCACGCGTTACTACAATCCAAAGGAGTTCTCCAAGTATTACGTCAAGTACCTTAAGGTGCGGGCAAAACAGCACATGGTGCAGTGAGGGCAGAGCAAAAGGGGAGACATGTGAAGTGAAGGTAACTTAGTAAGATGAGGGCAGATACGAAATGATTGAGCAGGAGCTGATACCATGTGAGAAAGATTGAAGAAGATGGTGTGAGCCGTAGTTGCTCTGATACCATGTGAGAAAGATTGAAGAAGAACCGATAGTTTGATTAGGAAATATGGGTATACATAGTAAGAACGCGGGCGCCCGCCGCGGATTAGGGTTTCACGGGCGACCGCCGCGGACGCGACGAACGCGGACGACCGCCCCTGCCGACACGAATGCGGGCGACCGCCGCGGACGCGACGAACGTGGGCGACCACTGCGGACGCGACAAACGCAGGCGACCGTCGCGGACGCGACGAACGCGGGCTACCGCCGCGGACTCGACGAACGCGGGCGACCGCCGCGGACTCGACGAACGCGGGCGATTGCCGCGGACGCAACGAACGCGGGCGACCGCCGCAGACGGGACCAGCGGGGACAACCGGCGCGGACGGGACCAGCGGAGGCGACCGCCGCGGACGCGACCAGCGGAGGCGACCGCCGCGAACGCGACCAGCGGAGGCGACCGCCGCGGACGCGACCAGCGGAGGCGACCGCCGCGAACGGGACCAGCGGAGGCGATCGCCGCGGACGCGATCAGCGGAGGCGACCGCCGCGAGCGACGCGACCAGGCGCAGCCGCGAGCAACGCGACCTGACACAGCCGTGGGCGACGCGATCAGGCGTAACCGTGAGCGACGCGACTAGGCGCAGCCCTTCGACCGCACCACCCCTCCAGGTGGTGTCCTCACCCCGATTGACCGCACCCGCCCTCCAGCCGGTGTCGTCAGCCCCTCCCCCCTCCCCCCCCCATGTCGGACGACTCTACTCCCATTGAGCTCGGAGCTATCGACAAGCTCGAGCTCCTTCATGATACCACCGCTGTGAACCGGGCGTCGTTCGAGGATACATTCCACACCCACCTTGGCTCTGTCATCATCCAAGACTCCTGTCTCCTTGACATAGTCCTTGAGCACCCTAACGACCTTCCACCTGTTCTCCCTCCTCTTGATCCCCCTCCCTCCTACGCCCCTCCACTTCCAGAACCTATTGACCCCGCCCCCCATGCTCCATTTCATGATGATCACCCGGATCGCTGGGCGGCCAACTTGAACAACTACAATAAGCTATGTGACACCTACACCATCCAGCGTGAAGCATACCGTGTTGCTGAGGAAGCCCATGCTGTCGCCACTGCGCGTATCCTCCTGTACGTAAAAAATGAGAAAGATCATGCTGAGGAGCTACGCAAACTTGACAAGGATGTCGCAGCGTCGCGCTCTCGCCATCATTTTCTCCTGCATTCCCTCACACCTCAAACGCGACCTCCGACCCACCTCCTCCTCTAGCCTCTGGAAAACTCTCTCTACCCAGTATGATCGCTAGGATCTTCGCTCCCTCCTTGCCCTCTTTCGCAAATTTCAAGACACCACTCTTGACTCCTCTCCCACTGCTGCTGCCTACACCCGCCGCCTCATTGATATTGCACAACGCCTCAACGATCGGGGCATTGTCATCTTTGAGTCTCTCCTCACGTCACGCATTCTCGACTGCATTCCCCCCACATATGACACATACTGCATCACCTTCACCTCCCGCTATCGTCGCCCTCCTCCTGTGACTGACACCATCGAGTGGCTTCTTGACAACGAAGCCGACCTTCAACGTGACTGCACCACTATCAATGCAGTTCAGACTCGCAAAGCCCCCACAGGCAACCAGAACAGCGGAGGAGGTGGCGGCCATGGCGGTACTAGCAGTGGTGGAGGTGGACGCTTAGTGGCAAAAGACGCGTCCTGCGTCTAAGACGAGTGCGTCCAGACGCAGCGTCTTAGACGCAGGACGCATGATGTGGGCCTTTGAGACGCAGCAAAAGACGCAGGCCCGGGCAGGGCAAAAGAAGCCCCCGGGCAGCCAAAAAAACACGTTATAGGGCATGGGAAGGGGGGGGAGGACGACGTATCACACATGTGAGGCAAAAACATAGCTATGGAGCGAAAGGTAGCACTATGGAGCGAAAGGTAGCTAAACCCTCAAGGGTTTACGAAGGAGAATTGTGTGTGGGCTGTTTTTGATGGTCGAAATGGGTCTGGGGGTCGAAATTTCGCGACATTGACATTCGCGTCGAAATCGCGAATGTCAACTTCGCGATCGGGAAACAAAACAAAAGAAATCCGGTCAGCCCGAAAAAAATTATGCCGTGCGTCCTGCGTCTGGACGCGCGTCCAGCGTCCCTGCGTCCGGACGCTGCGTCCAGACGCAGGACGCATGACGCGCCCAGCGTCTTTTGCCACTTAGGGTGGACGTGGTGGAAGACGAGGAAGACGCAGTGGAGGACGCGGTGGTGGTCGTGGCGGACACACCGCACCTTCAGGCACCCGCCCCCCGTGTCAGTACATCATCCGCTATGGCTCCAACAAAGGTCAGCCATGCTCTCAGACCACTCATACCACTGACACATGCTTCAAAGCCCTCACTGACGAGTGGTTCGCACGTGGCAACGTTGGCACTCCACCTCGCTGGAACACTGTTTTCCCATGCCCCTCCCTCCATGACATCTGCACTCTCCTCGCTTATCAACCCTCTACTTCAAACCTCCACAATGTCCTCACTCAGCATCTCCCATCTCACATCCTTTAGCAAGTTCAGCATCTTCTCCCCTCATCCACCCCCACTCCCAGCACTCCCACTCCTCCTCCACCCACACATCCGCCTCAAGCCCCTCCCACTCACTACCCTCCACCCTATGCTGGCTGGCCTTACCCTCCCTACCCACCTCCCGGTTATGGCCACGGACCCGCCGTCGCCCCCGTCGTCCGCACCTTGGCTGGCACTACTGTCCTTCTCTTCTCCACCACCCCCACCATCTACGAACCCACCACCTATGAGCAAGCACTTGCCTGTCTTGATGCGCCTCTCTGGATCGAGGCCATGGTCAAGGAGAGCAACGCCTTCATCAGCAACCGCTCGTTTCTCGACGTTCCTCGTCCCTCTAAGCACAACGTGGTCAAAGGCAAGTGGTTTTTCCGAGTAAAACTACTCCCTCGCGACGCTCCGGTCTACAAGGCTCGATATGTGGCAAAAGGCTTCACACAGACATATGGCTCAGACTTCTTCGAGACCTACTTACCCAACGCCACTCCACCGGTCATTCGCGTGTTTTTGGACTTTGTTGACAGACGCGGGATGATTCTTCACTCCATGGACGTCACCATCGCATTTCTGCAAGGCGACCTTCATGAGCTCATTTTCCTGGAACGTCCCAAAGGCTTCCACGCTCCTCACGACCCTACCACTGTTTGGAAGCTGCTACGCCTTGTCTACAGGCTCAAACAAGCACCTCGGGAATGGCACGCCAAACTCTCCTCCACCCTTCCCGCACTTGGCTTTCGCCCCTCGCGTGCCGCCTCTTGCCTCTTCCTTCGCCTCACCCCATCACCCTTCTACATCCTCGTCTATGTCGACGACATGCTGCTGGCCGCTGACACAGCTGCTGAACTCCAGGAGGTCAAAGATGAGCTGCAGAAACGCCTCGCCTGCAAAGACCTGGGGGAGGTCCGCAACTACCTCGGCATGGAGATCATCCGCGACCTCACTGCCAAGACCATCACCCTCTCTCAGTCTTTTTACATCGAGAAGATTCTTGAGAGGTTTGGCATGAAAACCTGCAAACCCATCCCCACACCACTTGCATTCGAGCATCGGCTCTCCCCTCCCACCACTCCCGTCACCTCCCCTCATCCCTATGCAGAACTTGTTGGGGCCCTGATGTACGCCATGGTCTACACTCGTCCCGACTTTGCATACCCAGTCAGTGTTCTAGCACAGTTCGTTGGCACCGGCAGGCATGGTGAAGAGCATTGGAAGGCGGCCATGCGTGTTCTTCGCTACCTTCAGGGCACGAAGGACCATGTCCTCACTCTTGGTGGTGTGACAACGACAGTACCATCCACCTCACCAAGGAAGCAGTCTTTCATGGTCGCCCCAAACACATCGAGCTTCGCTACTACTTTGTTCGCGACCCTGTCCAAGATGGTCACATCACCGTTCGCAAAATCGCCTCCTCCGACAACCTCGCCGATCTTTTCACCAAGGCTCTCCATCGCTCTGACCACTCTGCGCTTCTGCGCCTCCAAGGACTTGCTCCCCGCGGTGGCTGATTCAGGGGTTGTTGCTCTCTCTCTTCCCAAGCTTATGGATTTCTGTAGGTTAAGGGGTTGTGTCAGATTATCATCCTCATTGTAACCTAAATCAATCTTATAAGCTTAGGTTAGAGATAGACACCCAAACTTAGTTTGGGTGTAGAACTAGGGTTAACTCTAGTTGGTTGTTGGAACTCAAACCTTGGCCCAATTATTTGGCCCCCAAGGTTGGGTTGGGAATTATTGATCCCCCCAATAATGTTGAACCACTTGGTCAACATTATTGGTCGCCCCAATAATCCCTCAACCCAATTTATTGGTGGGGGGCCAATAATGTTGGTTAGGTTCCCAACCAAACCACCCATCCTAGCACTACAATGTATACCTCCATATTTCCTAATCAAACTATCGGTTCTTCTTCAATCTTTCTCACAGCCAGTCCCACAGTCAGTCGCACAGTCAGTCCCACAGTCAGTCGCACAGTCAGTCCCACAGTCAGTCGCACAGTCAGTCCCACAGTCAGTCGCACAGTCAGTCCCACAGTCAGTCGCACAGTCAGTCCCACAGTCAGTCGCACAGTCAGTCCCACAGTCAGTCGCACAGTCAGTCCCACAGTCAGTCGCACAGTCAGTCCCACAGTCAGTCGCACAGTCAGTCCCACAGTCAGTCGCACAGTCAGTCCCACAGTCAGTCGCACAGTCAGTCGCACAGTCAGTCCCACAGTCAGTCGCACAGTCAGTCCCACAGTCAGTCGCACAGTCAGTCGCACATTCAGTCCCACAGTCAGTCCCACAGTTGCGCAGTTGCACAGTTGCAGTACAGCAGGGAGGGGAGCAGAGCAGGGTAGTCCGGGTTGCTCTCATCACGGCATGTCTTGTGCGAGGCATGGCCGGCGCGACCCAGCGCTCGTGGGTTTCCAACGGTCGCAAAGCAAATGGATTCGATTTAACCATTGAGGCGCAGGGAAGAACCGCCGGTTGGTTCAGGCAGAACCGCGGTTTGACGACTTGCTCTCTTCTTGTGCCACTCTTGTCACGTGGAGATGTTTCTTTGCTGACTGTTTTGCTGCCCCCCCTCCCCTTACCTGCGCCCCTCCCCTTACCTTCATCCCTTCCGTTGCCTATGTACCTCCCTGTGCCTTGTATTGTTTGCGGCGCCTATCAGCTGGCCTGCAGGGGTCGGGACGAGGTGCCAGACGACAAGACAGTCAACTGCTTTTGAGGCGCCTCATAAACTGTCTGTCCGTGCGTCTCTCACCTTGCCTGTCCTGTCTTCCCTTGTCTCGCGTTCTCGCGTGTGCGGCGCCTATCAGCTGGCCTGCAGGGGTCGGGACGAGGTGCCAGACGACAAGACTGTCAACTGCTTTTGAGGCGCCTCATAAACTGTCTGTCCGTGCGTCTCTCACCTTGCCTGTCCTGTCTCCCCTTGTCTCGCGTTCTCGCGTGTGCGGCGCCTATCAGCTGGCCTGCAGGGGTCGGGACGAGGTGCCAGACGACAAGACTGTCAACTGCTTTTGAGGCGCCTCATAAACTGTCTGTCCGTGCGTCTCTCACCTTGCCTATCCTGTCTCCCCTTGTCTCGCCTTCTCGTGTGTGCGGCGCCTATCAGCTGGCTTGCAGGGGACGAGACGAGGTGCCAGATGATGAGACAGTCAACCGCTTTGGAGGCGCCTTCTAAACTGTCTGTCTATGCGTCTCTCACCTTGTATTCTCCTGTCTCCCCTTGTCTTGCCTTCTCGTGTGTGCGGCGCCTATCAGCTGGCTTGCAGGGGACGAGATGAGGTGCCAGATGATGAGACAGTCAACCGCTTTGTCTATGTGGTGAGTAACGCCCCTTTCTTCCTTCCACCATTGCCTCCTATATGGTGGACATCCTCCCTCGTACCGTTGCCTCACCTTCAACTGCCCGGTTTCTCTTTCACGATTTTTTTAACTCCTGCTGCTGCTGCTCGCCTTTCCAATGCGCACCCTCTCGCCTTCCATGCGGTATAGTCCATGCGGGCCACGGATCGGCGAGTGTGCATCGTGGTGCACTGCACTTCCAAGTTGGAACTTAGAACACCTATTCCAAGTCCCGTCCGCCTTCCCCCATCACACTTCCCGTGTCCCCCTTCGTCCGCCCCCGTTCCTCCGTCCCCCTTCCTCCGTTCCCCTTCCCCCGCCCCCCTTCCCCCGCCCCCCTTCCCCCGTTCCCCTTTCCCCCCCCGCCCCTCCCCTTCCCCCGTTCCCCTTCCCCAGGTACTCTTCCCCGGTCTCCCTTTCCCCGTCCCCCTTTCCCCAGCCTCCTTCCCCATCCCCCTTTCCCTTGCCCGCTTCCCCCGCCCCTTTCGCACGGCAGGCGTTGGACTTCATGCGAGCCATGGAGCGCAACAAGTGCATCGCGCTGCACTGCACTCTCCAACTTGCCTCTGTGACTCTGTCTCTCCCACTTATCCCTGTCACTCCCCTGTCACTCCCCTGTCACTCCCCTCTCTCTCCCCTGTCTCTCCCCTCTCTCTCCCCTGTCTCTCCCCTGTCTCTCCCCTGTCTCTCCCCTGTCCTGCCTGCCCCTCCTATTGCCAGGGCTTGGACTACATGCGGGCCACGGAGCGCAAGAAGTACATTGTGGTGCAATGCACTCTCCCACTTGCCACTGTCTCTCCCACTTGCCGCTGTCCGTCTCGCCCCTGTCCTGCCTCTCCTTTCAGGTGCTGGACTACATGCGCGCCACGGAGCGCAAGAAGTACATTGTGGTGCACTGCCCTTTCAACGTCCCTCTCTCTCCCCTTCCCCCGTCCTTCGCACTCTCTCCCCCCTCTCTCGCACGGCAGGCGCTGGACTACATGCGGGCTACAGAGCGCAAGAAGTACATTGTGGTGCACTGCACGCACGGGCACAACCGCACGGGTTTCGTGATCATCCACTTCCTCATGCGCGCCATGGGAGGGCACGTGGCAGAGGTATGTATGACGAATAGATGCTACTATTACGATATGGGAGGGCATGTGGCTGAGGCACGTGGCACCAACCATGTGTCGTCATGAGGCACTACTACAACCGCACGGGCTTCGTGATCATCCACTTCCTCATGCGCGCCATGGGCGGGCACGTGGCTGAGGTATGGTATGGTGGATAGAGGTAGCGCAGAGGTGGGCATGTGGTGGCAGAGGTGGGCATGTGGTGGCAGAGGTACTGTGGCATTGTGGCGTGTGACAGAATCATTAATGGTGGAAGACACAAGGAGGACGAATGATTCTGCTCCTTTTTTTTTTCAGAGTTTGTGGCGTTGAAGAAGAAGAAAACTCAGAAACTCATAAACTCAGAAACTCAGAAACTCAGAAACTCAGAAACTTAGAAACTTAGAAACTTAGAAACTCAGAAACTCAGAAACTTAGAAACACTTTGATTCTTGCTCCCACAGCCAATTTTTGAGGCGCCTCACTGTTTTCCAGGCGCTTTTCTCCTATCACTAGCCCTGCTCCCTCACAGGCATCTCACACACGTGCCTGCCCATCTCGTCTTCCCTCACTCACTCACACCCATTGCAGAGGCTCGCAGAGTTCGCTGAGGTCCGCCCCCTGGGAGTATACAAGGAGGAGTACATTCAGGCGCTCTTCTCCTTCTACCACGAGCGCTGCTCCCTGGAAGCCACCTCCAACGCACACATGTCCGCTTGTCCGTGTGTCCCACCCCCTTCCTAAAACCCCTGTCGTTTTCACAAATACAGAGGCTAGCCGAGTTCGCAGAGGCCCGCCCCCCGGGCATATACAAGGAGGAGTACATCCAGGCGCTCTTCTCCTTCCTTCTGCTCCTTCCTTCTACCATGACTCTTGCTCCCACGCCGCTTAAACCCTCTGTTTGCAGAGACTAGCCGAGTTCGCAGAGGCGCGCCCTCCAGGCATATACAAGGAGGAGTACATCCAGGCGCTCTTCTCCTTCTACCACGAGCACTGCTCCCTCCTAGGTGCCTCAAACCCTTGATTGTTTCTTGCCCTACCTCCGCAGAGGCTAGCAGAGTTCGCAGAAGCCCGCCCTCCAGGCATATACAAGGAGGAGTACATCCAGGCGCTCTTCTCCTTCTACCACGAGCGGCGCCCCGAGGTGGTGATCTGCCCCTCCACACCCGAGTGGAAGGCCACATTCGACCTGGACCTGGATCTCAACGTGGCGCTTGAGATGGACGAGGAGGACGAGGGAGGAGGCAGCGCAGGCGGTGGTGGTGGGGATGACGGCAACGAGGAGTGTGGCGCTGCTGTGCTGCCAGAGCCGGTGAGTGGATCAGACAAACAGCCAGTGAGTAGGGTGCTCACGTAAGGGCCCACCCGCACATCCCACCCACCCCGCACCTCACCTCACCCTGTGGGTGTGCCCACGCCCGAGTGGAATGGAAGGCCACGTTCGACCTGGATTTGGATCTCCACGTTCGAAGATGGTCGTTGGTGACTTAGTTGCGTAAGACGCGTCTAGCGTCTTAGACGCAGCGTCTAAGACGCTAGACGCTAGACAGTGTAGATTAGACGCAGTATTAGACGAAAACCCGGGCAGGCCTAAAAAAAATGTTCGGGCAGTCCAAAAAAAGTTCTATGGGGCATGGGGAGGGTGGGGGACATGCACCTATGTCACAATGGCTACTAGAAGACATGGTTGCGCGGTGGAAGTAGCTAAACCCTAAGGGTTTTCGAAAGAGATTTGGAAGAAATGAAGGTAGGGGAGCACAAATGAGAGATTTGTGCTCCCCAACCTCTTGGTGGTTAGCCATAGAGGTTGGGTTTTCTAGATACCAAGCGGTGAAGTGTGGTTTGTGTTCAATTTTGGTTGGGGGGGATTCAAATTTGCTTGGAGGGCTGGTTTTTGTGGTCGAAATGGGTGGGAAGGGGTTCTAATGGCGCGAAATTGAATTTCGCGTCGAAATGGCGAATTTCAATTTTGCGCGCGCGTTTTTTTTTGGGCTGCCCGAAAAAAAATCGCCCAAGCGTCTTCCGCAACTAAGGTTGGTGATGGGGTGGGGTCGGGTGGTGGATGCGGTGCGAGTTAGCATTAGGGGTGTCAGCAATCACCGATCGATCAGCATGTTGCTCTCTTTCTGTGTGCCTGCCCAGGAGCCAAGCAAGGAGGAGGAGGGCAAGAAGAAAATGACGATTGACGATGTGCTGGGGTCGGCGATACCGGAGGAGCAGCAGATGGAGCTGCAGCAGCTCGTGTGCACGGGGCTCAAGTCGGTACGTGCAGCGAGGAGGGGTGGTGAATGGTGCAGAGCGGTGCAGAGCTGTGCAAATATTGGAGAGGAAAGTGGGAGTGGTAATATTGGAAGAACAGCAGATGGAGCTGCAACAGCTTGTGTGCACGGGGCTCAAGTCGGTACATGCAGCGAGGAGTGACGATGGGTGCAGAGGGGTTGGGATTGGTGAGATGTGTTGGGATTGGGGAATCGGGACTTGGACTTGCCCCAAGGAAGAGAAGGCGATGAGGGGAGAGGGGAGAGCGAAGAGAGGACACTCGTACGAAGGGGTGAAACTCCACGGTGACGGGGAGCACTGTGTTTTTTTCGAAAAGTTAAAACGTGAAGATGGAAGTAAAAAAACATTCAATCCGGGGAAGTTCATTACGCCGTTGTCGGCGGCGGTTTGGAGGGACGTCACACGAGTGATGTATACGGTGTTGCCAGAGGAGTCGGCGTTCACTTTGTTCTTCATCGCCTCTCTTCGCTCTCCCCTCTCCCCTCCATCGCCTTCTCTTCCTCCAGTACTCTGTCCGCTAATCTCTCCTCCTTTTCCTTCTGTTGTGTGCTCATCTCAATCTCACCCCCCCCTCCTGCTTCCCCCCATGTACCCATTATCCCATTCCTCAATTCCTCCATTCTCTCAATCAAACGTGCGCCATTTCCCGGGTTCTCATCTTGAGGTTCCTTCAAAAGTAGTTCCGATTTCCACCTCCTCCCATTCCTCACCCCCCTCCAGAACAATTTCCGGCACTTCCCCGGCTCGCAACCAGTCTCGCTGGACCTGTAAGCCCCCTCTCTCTCACCTTCACTCCCCCCCTCCCAACCTTCCATCTGATGAGGCGCTTCAACTTCAACATTCGAGTTTTGTGGGGCCGCTCGCAACCAGTCTCGCTGGACCTGTAAGCTCCCTGTCTCTCACCGCCCCTCCCTTCCCTTCTCCACCTCACCCCATCTGTTGAGCCGCTTCAACTTCAACATTCGAGTTGCAAGGCGCCACCCGCAACCAGTCTCTCTGGACCTGTCAGCTCCGAGTCTCTCACTGTCACCCCCGCCCCTCTCAACCTCAACCCCTTTGTTGAGGGCCGCCCTCCCTCCAATGAATTGATTTTTGAGGTGCCTGAAAGTCGTCTCTCAAGTGACCTCACTCACTGGACCTGTACAATCCATGTGTCTCACCTTTGCTTTGGTTTCTCAACCCCACCTTCTCTGTCTTCCTTACCACTGGCTGGGTGGGTGAGTGATCCTTGAGTTGAGTTCAACAAACACTGCTTTTGAGTGATGGTCGATTCAAGTGTTGTAAGATGTAGGCACTGAAAGGTGTCCATGCATGCTGCAGGTAGCGCCAGGTGGTACATACATACATGGTGACTTTTTTAGTCGACTTAAAGCATCCATCGACGTTCATTTGTGCCTGGAAGGAACAGCTCAGCACACAGCGCAGCACAGAATACGACACACAGCTGCCGCACGCTACAAGCATTCTCCTCCTCTGCACTTCTCGCAGTGACCATGCTTCGAGGAAAGCCTTAAAATATTGGTTAGAAGCAATATGTAAGACCAATAGCTGTTCTTCTGTTGCTGAGACCAGCTGCAAGTCCCTTGTGGCTAGGCATGAGCAGTTTCGAGCGTTGCTCATCCCTACTTGTGGCTGTCCTCTTCTCTCTTCTCTTCCTGTATGTGGTATTTTGAATCTCTACCACACTACCTGTCTTCCGCACGTGTTGTATTTGATGCAGCAAGAACCTTCAACGTAGTCCGTACACTACCCACTTTCCATGTGTGATATGAATGATGCAGCAAGAACCTTCAGCTGCTGCGGCAGCGGCTGTACTACGTGACGTGGAAGGCGGATGGCACGCGCTACATGATGCTCATCTGCCCCGATGGCTGCTACCTCATCGACAGGTGTGCTTGCCGTGACAGACAGGTGTGCTTGCATTGACAGGTGTGCTTGCATTGACAGGTGTTCGCATTGACAGACAGGTGGTGCTTGCATTGACAGGTGTGCTTGCATTGACAGGTGTTCGCATTGACAGACAGGTGGTGCTTGCATCCACAGGTGCTTCAGTTGACATGACAGGGACTGCCTTGTCGACTCGACAGGTGTGCTTGCATTGGCGGCAGCTTGCAGCGTGTGCTAAATACGTTGATCGTCCGTCTTCCCCCCATTCTTGCTCTCCCTCCCTTCTCTACCCTCCACTTGGCCGCCTCACATGCACCTCATAGTCTCTCTTGACCCACTTTACAGCAATACCTCGACTCTGCCTCTTTCCTCCCCCCTGCAAACCTCTTTCTCCCTCGCTCCCCCCCCTCTTCCCCCACCTCCCCCCCTCTTCCCCCCCTCTCCCCTCCCCTCCTTCAACAGAAACTTCCGGTTCCGGCGGGTGCAGATGCGGTTCCCGGCGCGCAAGCACGTGCAGCACAAGGCGCTGGACGACTGGGACGTGCATCGTACCACACTGCTGGACGGCGAGATGGTCGTCGATGAGCTGCCCGGCACTGGCGTGCAGGAGAGGCGCTACCTCATCTACGATCTCATGATGCTTGATAGCGTGCCGTTGGGGGATGTGAGTGGTGTGTTGGGTGTGATGGGCACCTGGTATGGTCGTCGATGAGCTGCCCGGCACTGGCGTGGAGGAGAGGCGCTATTTGATTTACGACCTCATGATGCTTGATAGCGTGTCGCTGGGGGATGTGAGTTGATAGGTGGGGTGTGAGTGGTGCGTGGGGGTGTTTGTGGCACATGGCATGTCACCAGTTGCTGTGACATGCACTGGCGTGCAGGAGAGGCGCTATCTCATGATGCCCGGCAGTGTGCGGCTGGGAGATATGTGTGGTCCTGGGGTGGGGGGGTTGGTAACGGATGAGAATAGATGGTTTCGGTGTCACGTGCGAATGCGTGTCTGCCAACTGGGAGATGTGTGTGGTCCAGGGGTGGGGGGGTTCGGTAATGGAGGGATGGGGGTGTGAGTGGTGGTGAGAAGAAGGGAGGGAGGGGTGACTGCTTTCTGTTTTCTGTTATTATTGTTATTGGTATTGTTGTAAATTATTGTTATTATCATTGCTAGTATTTTTCCCTTGTTCGTCTTGTCGATTTGTCTGTTTAATAAAAAAAAAAATTCGGAGGCCATATGCGGAGCGGGTAGAGCTCATTGGGGGACAGGTGGTGGCTTTGCAGCCTACTACATTGAGACAAGACACCTAGGCAGTAGCCTTTCCCTTCACAACTCGTCTGCTCCGTCCTGCCATTCTTGCTTCCCCGCCACAGAGGGTGTTCGCGGAGCGGTTTGATCTGATAGAGAAGGAGGAGGTGGTGGTGTTCCGGCATTTTGTTTTTCCTAGGTCTCAAATGGAACCCAATATTCGTTCTTCCTCCCTCTTTGCAGAGACCATTCGCGGAGCGGTTTGAGCTGATAGAGAGGGAGGTGGTGGCGCCGCGCAAGATGGATGCAGCGATGAACCCCCTGTACGACTACAGCCTGGAGGACTTCAAGGTGATTGCTTGCTGCTTGAGCCTTGAAGGGGTTTCAGGGTGATTGCAACTTGACCGCTTTCAGGTGGTGCCGCGCCGCGGACAATGGATGCAGCCATGAATGAACCCCTTGTACGACTACTGGAGAACTTCAAGGTGATTGATTGCTGCTTGAAAGGTGGTGTGGTGAAGAGAAGAGCTTCAACAGGTGCAGGATTTGAAGATGGATGGGGTGATGAACCCCTTGTATGACTATGGCCTGGAGGACTTCAAAGTGATTGCATGCTGCTGCTTCAAAGGCTTTAAGGGTGGTACGTTCAAGGGTTTCAAGGTGGATGGATGGGTGGCATGGTGAACAGGCTGAACAGGCCGAACACGTTGAAAAGGTTGAAGCTAAATTCAGTTAGGAGAGTTTTACAGGAATATCCTTTCTATGACTCTGTATGGTATGTGCCATGCCCCATTCGCCATGCACCATGTGACATGCATTCTCCCCATGCCACATGCATTCTACGTACCACCGTTTCCCACCAGGTGCGGCGCAAGTTCTTTGACGTGCTGAGCACGGTGGGCAAGCTCGAGTTCCCCATGCCCATGGATTTACCATGCATGTCCCATGCTTTGTGCCCCATGCCCATGGATTTACCATGCATGTCCCATGCTTTGTGCCCCATGCCCATGGATTTACCATGCATGTCCCATGCTTTGTGCCCCATGCCCATGGATTTACCATGCATGTCCCATGCTTTGTGCCCCATGCCCCATCCGTGCTCATGGCCCCCACCAGGTGCGGCGCAAGGACTTTTACATGCTGAGCACGGTGGGCAAGCTGCTTTGCTCCATGCTCCATACCCCATACCCCGTGCCGCATTCACTAGTCTCTATGCATGCCCCATGCCCCACCAGGTGCGGCGCAAGGACTTTTACATGCTGAGCACGGTGGGCAAGCTGCTTTGCTCCATGCTCCATGCCCCATGCCCCACCAGGTGCGGCGCAAGGGCTTTTACATGCTGAGCACGGTGGGCAAACTGCTTTGCTCCATGCTCCATGCCCCATGCCCCACCAGGTGCGGCGCAAGGGCTTTTACATGCTGAGCACGGTGGGCAAGCTGCTTTGCTCCATGCTCCATGCCCCATGCCCCACCAGGTGCGGCGCAAGGGCTTTTACATGCTGAGCACGGTGGGCAAGCTGCTTTGCTCCATGCTCCATGCCCCATGCCCCACCAGGTGCGGCGCAAGGGCTTTTACATGCTGAGCACGGTGGGCAAGCTGCTTTGCTCCATGCTCCATGCCCCATGCCCCACCAGGTGCGGCGCAAGGACTTTTACATGCTGAGCACGGTGGGAAAACTGCTTCACGACTTCATTCCCAAGCTCAGCCACGAGTCCGATGGACTCATCCTGCAGGTGAGTGAGTGCAGTCAGTCAGCAGTGTGTACGGCCACGGCGGCATGGCACGTGCACGGCCCAAAAGCGAATCGGTCAGTGCATGGGCATGGTGAATGAGTCCGACGGGCTCATCCTGCAGGTCAGACAGTGCAGTCAGTCAGCAGTGTGTATGTATGTGCATTGTGAGTGAGTTGACTCAAGTTATGTTTCTTTTGTCATGCCCTTTCAAATGCCACCTTTCATTCTCTTTCCAATCGCACCAAGGGGTGAAATGATTGCTGCTCATCTGCCTCAAAAGGGTTGAAATGATTGCTGCTCATCTGCCTTACCTGCACGACCTCCTTCTGTGCGTGCTTACAACAATCCAAGCTTCTCTCTTACTCCAATTCCCTCGTCTGGCCTCGCCTTGTTCTGCACGGCAGGGGTGGAACGATGCGTATGTGCCGCGCACGCATGAGGGTCTGCTCAAGTGGAAGTACGCTCACATGAACTCCGTTGACTTCTGCCTCAAGGTGCGTTGACTTCTGCCTCAAGGTGCGTTGACTTCTGCCTCAAGGTGCGTTGACTCTTGTTGACTCATGATGCTGACTCCTGTTGTCTTACCTCGACTCATGTGGACTCCTGCTGACTCCCGCTGACCTCTCATTGACTCCTATTGACTCTTGTTAACTCCTACCCACCCCTGTTGAACCTCCTCGAACACTCCACACCCCCCCTGCGCTCACTCAACCCCCCTGTCTCCGTTCCTCTTTCCACTACACCTCGTTTCACTTCCTTTCCTCTTTCCACTACGCCTCGTTTCACTTCCTTTCGTTTTTCCTCTACACCTCGTCTCACTTCCTTTCCTCTTTCCACTACACCTCGTCTCACTTCCTTTCCTCTTTCCACTACACCTCGTCTCACATTCAGCACCTCCTCTTCCGCTCCTCCACTCCTCTCCCCCCATCATCCCCCGTGCGTGCTGCGGTGCAGAAATCACCGGAGGGCAAGTGGGTGCTGCTGCTGTCCGACAGGAAGACGCTACGAGCGCTGCCAGCATCCAAGTTCACCCACCCTGGTCAGTGCCTCCCTCTTGCTTTGCTTTGCGCTACTGCTCTCCTCCTTCCCTCCTGTTCTTCTCCTTCCCTCCTGCTCTCCTGCTCTGGCCCCACAGTGTGAATTACCATTCTAATTATGTCATAACTGTGTCTCTTTGTCCAATCCACACCTCCTCTCCTCGACACAAGGAGGCAATTGAGTTGGAGGGCAAGCTAATGGAGTCGCCCTCACGATGCACTTTGATAACGTTTCTCGTCCAAAACCTATTTTTGAGTCGACTCGAAAATAGTTGGAGGGCAAGCTAATGGAGTTCTGCTCAACCACACTTGGAGTTCATTAATAGCACCTCTCTTGCCCTAAGACAAACCAAACCAACCCCAACCTCTCTTTTCGCCCCAACCCCCCGTACCCTCTCCCTGCCCTTTTCACACCCTCCTTAGAGATGAGTGAGGGGGAGCGAGCTTGCTGGAGGGGAAGATAGTGGAGTGGAGTGCTGGTTACGCTACAACGTGGGGTTTCAGTTCCATTCATTCATAACGCTTTTCTTCGCCCCTGAAACCCGCCCTCTCCCCCTCCCCTTCCTTCCGCTCCCCCCCCCCCCCCCCTCCTCAGGCATGAGTGAGGAGGAGGCGAACGAGCTGGAGGGGAAGATAGTGGAGTGCTGCTGGAAGAAGGATGAGGGCGAGTGGGAGTTCATGCGCGTGCGCACAGATAAGGAGCACCCCAACGCGTGGCACACGTACCTCAAGGTGATCCCTGGTACTATATGTTATCGGTAGCATGTGCTTTAAGGAAGTTGATGCGTTTTGAAGGAGGAGGGCGAGTGGGAATGTCTAATGCGCGTGAAGGAGCACCCCAACGCATGGCACACATACCTCAAGGTGCGGCTGCCGAATGTCATGAGTCGCACGCACGTTATGCTGAATGTCATGGGTCGCATGCACGTTATGCTGCATGTCATGAGTCGCATGCACTTTATGAGTAGCATGCATTTTGAGTAGTATGCATTTTGAGTAGCATGCATCTTGAGTAGCATGCATCTTGAGTAGGATGCATCTTGAGTAGCATGCATCTTGTCTCATGTGTCTGTCTGCGTGGTCTCATCTCAAGCCTGCAACGCGTCCTTCAGTGTGCATGCACTGCCGGCTCCGCACGGAGGAGGTGCAGAACATGTGGAGTGAGAGTTGTGCGTGTGAATATATCACGTCCGCAATGCGGCTGTCTTGTATGTGTGCCCTTCATGTGTTGCCCTCTGCTCCTGGCAGGTGATGGAGAGCATTCGAGACATCACGGAGGAGGTGCTGCTGAAGAAGGTCCAGCACATGTGTAGAGAGGGATGTGCGTGTGGGTGTATGAGCTGTCTCCTCTCATGCTGCTGCCTCCCCTCCCTCACAGGTGATGGAGAGCATTCGTGACAACATCACAGAGGAGGTGCTGCTGAAGGAGGTGCAGCACATTCGCAGCCTGCCAGTCTACGAGGAGCATGAGAAGAGCGAGATGCGCCGCCTGCAGCAGCAGCGCCGCCACCCCCACCCCCACCCCCATGCCCACCAGCGACATCATCAGCAGCAGCACCGGCATCCGCCCCAACCCCAGCATCATCAGCATCACCAGCAGCAACAGCAGCATCACGAGCAGCAGAAAAGGTAACAGGCATAGCACTTGATGTTGGCACGCACCATGGAATAAGGAGCTGCATGTGAGGCTGGTGGATGTACAGTACAAGCCTTTCTGTTTTAGTGTCTCCCTTTTTCTTTCTCGTGCTCGTGTCTCCCACTTTCTTCCTGTGCACCCATGTATTTGAGTGATAACTGTGCAAAACTAGTTGTTGATGAAGAAGCATTGTAAAATCAAGATTCATCAGGCTCACACCTGATGCAATAGAAAGTTCGCTTTGACAACAAGCTGGTTGAAGATTATATGCGAGTAGATGAATGATGATGTGATATGTACACTCTGTTCTGTAGCCACGGAGTGATTCATAATGAACTGAGTGGTAGAATCAATAGCGTCAGTTGACGTGGCGCGGTGGGCACCACAAGTTCGTGAGAGTCCCAAGCCACCTCAGGTAATATGGGCGAAAATGGCTTTGCCCACCTCGCCAATCACGAAACCCGCCTGCATTTCTTGTAGAGTTACCTAGTGTTACATTTTCGCTAAAAGTACCCAAACACGAAGTCATCAGCAGGCCCAGCCTATCAGATACAGCAACGACCTATGTTCTATCCGCAACCAACCCAACGTCCCTATGTTCTATCCGCTTGCTATGCCAAGCGAACTATTCTGAAATTAGCAGTCGTTTCGCAATGGCTTCTCGCCTCCAGTCCGTCGCCGCCCACGGCGTCGCCACCACATCGTGCAGCGCGGTTACCACCTCGCCTGTCACGTCGACTGCGACGGTAACCGGCAGGTGCAATGCGGTCCACTCGTGTCGCCTCACCGCCAATCCCGCCGCAAATCTCGCCGGGTCTGCCGCAGGATGCTCTCGTCAGCAGCAAGCCCATTCACTCGCCAGCTGTTCCGCGTTAAGCGGAGCCTCCGCGTGGCGGCAGCTCTCAGCTGCGCAGATTGCGGGGAATGCGGGAGCTTCGGGGCGCGAGGTTCGGCCAGGGATGGCATTCGTTGTCCGTAGTGCTCTGGTGCGTGCTGCCGCCGATCCCGTCTTCGTAGCGCAGCGAATCCGATCACCACAATTCCCGCGACTCGTGGTCAAATCGCAATCAGCATCGCAGTGCCGTCCACTCCTCGTTAGACTGGCTCCTACGGTCCTTTCTGTCGACCTTATGGCGTGAAGTAGAATGGAAGTTTCGCTTCCATTTCCGTCTGAAGGGCTCTGGGAGTAGCTTCTGGGCTGACACTGTCTGAAAGGGGGGGATTCCATGATCGCCTGAGAGTGCCTTTCGGAGTCTCCTGAGAGCCTGGGAGTCTGAGGCCTGAGAGCCTGGGATTCTGAGGCCTGAGAGTCTGAGGCCTGAGAAACAGCTGCTGAGGAGTGCGGCATGTTGGTTGGTATAGACCAACGCGTCTTTGCCATGGAGCACTCACTCAGGTTCAGCGCGCAGGTTCTTTCAGAGCTGTCTCCGTGTTCTTTGAAGGGTTTAAGCCTCATCACTTCATCCCGCCTACCCACCCAACTCCTTCACCCTAGCGCCTCCATTCCCCGCGTACTCCTCCCGCTGCCCCTCCCTTCTCTCTTCTTCCGTCTTCGTTCTCCTCTCTTCCCATTCTCTCTTTCCCTATCAGGAGGATTACGTCATCACAAAGCTAGACTCTGCAGAGCGAACCTTCAAAGAACTTTCTGTGAGTTGCATTTTCTTTGCGTTCTATACATTCCCTCTTCGTCTTCCCATTGTACCCCTACCATTTCCCGCCCCTTGCTTCAGCTTGTGCTCCTTAAACCCGGCTCTGCTCCATTTGTTTCCATCTGCCCCGGCTTTCTATCACCCCATTTGCCCCGTCTTTCCCCCTTCCTTTCCCCCATTCTTTCCCCACACCCTTTTCCCCCTTCCTTTCCCCCATTCTTTCCCCACACCCTTTTCCCCCTTCCTTTCCCCCATTCTTTCCCCACACCCTTTTCCCCCTTCCTTTCCCCCATGCTTTCCCCACACCCTTTCCCCCTTCCTTTCCTCCATCCTCAAGAACACCCGTTCCCCCCACCTTTCCCCCGCCCGTTCCCCCCACCTGTCCCCCCGCCCGTTCCCCCCGCCCGCTCCACCCGCCCGTTCCCACTGCCCGTGCCCCCCACCCCACCCGTGCCCCCCACCCGTTCCCCCCACCCGTGCCCCCCACCCGTTCCCCCCACCCGTTACCCCCACCCGTTCCCCCCACCTGTTCCCCCCGCGCGTGCCCCACCACCAGATTCGTCTGGCAGATCCCGAGGTGGCGTCCAACGCGACTGAGTACATGCGCATTGCCAAGTCAGCCGGGGAGATCGAAGAGGTGAGTGGGGGAGAAGAGGAGGTGAGGGGGGAGCAAAGGGGTAGATGGAGCGGATAGAGGGGGTAAAGGAGGGGAGAGGGGGATAGAGGAGTGGGGGTGAGGTAGTTGGGAGTAGGTACGAGGTGATTGATGAGTTGAGGGAGAGAGAGAGGGGGAGAGGGGGACAGAGGAGGGGAGGGGAGGTAGTAGGGTTGGGAGCACTGACGATGGATACTCACCCGGCTTGGGAGGAGGGGGAAAACCTGTGTGGGCACTGGGCACTACCATCCTATCAGTGCCGGGTGGGGGTGAGAAAGCAGGGGAGAGGTGGATGGAATGATAAGGGGCCGCGGAATGATAAGGGGCCGCGGAATGATAAGGGGCCGCGGAATGGGCTGCATCTAACGTGGCGCTGGTATGCATACATGGGTGGGTGGTGTGTCATTGCGTGCCCACCTGTCCACATCCCACGCCCCCGATCACATCCCCACATCCCACATCCCACATCCCACATCCCACATCCCACATCCCACATCGCACATCCCACATCCCCACATCCCACATCCCCACATCCCACATCCCACATCCCCACATCCCACATCCCACATCCCACATCCCACATCGCACATCCCACATCCCCACATCCCACATCCCCACATCCCACATCCCACATCCCACATCCCACATCCCCACATCCCCACATCCCACATCCCCACATCCCACATCCCCACATCCCCGCATCCCACATCCCACATCCCCACTAAGTTGCCAAATACGCTTATTGCGTATATACGCATATCGTATATACGCTAGCGTATGTACGCTATCCGCGTAGGGGGTCGATGTGGACATACGCTTTTCCGGGCAGAGAAAAAACTTTCCGGGCAGGGTGGGAAAAAAAGTACTCCCTATTCACACTATGATATGACGTGCCCTAGCAGCATTATTCTGAGTCCGAACGGCGAGTGGGGCGGGAAGTGGGGTAGACATTTCAGCTAGAGAGAGAAGTAGGAGTTGGCGGGAGGAACTCTGCTGACAGCGGGAATGAATCGTGGGAAATGACGAATTAGCAGCTAGGTTGTCTGGTAAGTAGTGTGAAAGGTTAGTTGAGGGGCCGATTTTGACAGGTTGGAGTTTGTAAAAGGGTTGGGATGGGTTTCAATGCGGTAGATGAGATGGGTTTCAATCAATGTGTAGATCTGAAATTCGACATTTGCCAAATGTGCCTCACAACTTCGAAGTCAGATCCCGGCTAGCCTGGACCACGGATTTTCAAGACTTCGGCGAAATGCTCACCTAGAAAATCCGCAACTATTTTGCGATATTTTTTCCCCGGGCAGCCCGGAAGATTTTCTGAAAGCGTATAGCGTATTCGCGGGCGTATAGCGCATAGCGTACAAACGCTATACGCTGAAGGGGTTGAGCGTATTTGGCAACTTAGCATCCCCACATCCCACATCCCACATCCCACATCCCCACATCCCACATCCCACATCCCACATCCCCACATCCCACATCCCACATCCCACATCCCACATCCCCACATCCCCACATCCCACATCCCACATCCCCACATCCCCACATCCCACATCCCACATCCCCACATCCCACATCCCACATCCCCACATCCCCACATCCCACATCCCACATCCCCACATCCCACATCCCACATCCCACATCCCACATCCCACATCCCACATCCCCACATCCCACATCCCCACATCCCACATCCCACATCCCACATCCCACATCCCACATCCCACATCCCACATCCCCACATCCTCCACACACATTCCACATCCCATTCCACTTCCCCACATCCCCACATGCCCATCCCACATCGCCCATGACATGCCACATCGCAACATGCATCAACCCACAGTGCCACTTACTAATCTCACACCCTCGCCATCTCACACCCTCGCCATCACACATTCCCACCATGGCCTGGCAGGTGGCGAGTGCCTATGCGGAGTGGAAGGACAAGCAGCAGCAACTGGCTGACGCAAAAGGTGACTATAGCGATGCCTGGCAATGCTTGCACCCCTTTGCACCCCTTTGCACCCCTTTGCACCCACCCCTTGCACCCCTTGCACCAACTCTTCCCACTCCTCCCCATTCCTTCCCACTCCTTGCATCAGCCCTCATGAAGGACAGCACATCAAACCTGGAGATGGCAGAGATGGCGGGAAAGGAGGTGGGTGAGCTGGAGAATTAGACAGCTTACCTACTCCCCACTCATTTCCACTCCTTCCCATTGCCTTCCACTCCTTACCACTCCTTGCACCAGCCTTGATGAAGGACAGTGCATCGGACCCGGAGATGGCAGAGATGGCCGGGGAGGAGGTGGGGGATCTGGAGGCGCAGCTAGAGGAGCTGGAGGGGCGGCTCAAGGTGCTGCTGCTGCCCACCGACCCGCTTGACGCGAGAAACATCATGCTGGAAGGTGCGTGGGTGAGCTGGGACGTGGGGGGGAGTGCTGGAAGGTGCGTGGGTGTCTTTTTTATCGACTCTCAAGGAGCTGGAGGGACGACTCAAGGTGCTTCAGCTGGGATATGCAGGGTGTGCTGGGATGGTATGTGCGGGTGCGTGCGTTGAGTTGACTCTAAAGGAGCTGGAGGGACCTGCTTAAGGTGCTGCTGCGGCCCTTATTGGCAAGAGCATCATGCTGGAACTTGCGAGTGCATTGTGAAAAGGTGCATGTGTGGAAGGTGGGGCGTGTGTGCTGGGAGGTGGGGGTGTGTTTGAGGTTGAGGTGTGGATGAGGTGTGCTGGGAGGTGTTTGGTTGTCTTTTGGGTCGACTCCAGAGCAGCTGGGGGGGCAACTCTCAAGGTGCTGCTTCTGCCCAGCCCACCGACGGCGACCCCCCTAATGCCATAAACATCATGCTGGAACGTGCATGTGCATTGTGAAAACGTGTGTGTGTGTGTGCTGGGAGGTGGGGGGTTCGTCGGAGGTGTTGGGTCAGGTGTGCTGGTCCTGTTTTCCATACTCCGCTCTCGCCCTCCTACCCCTGCCCTCCTACCCCTGCCCTCCTCCTCCTGCCCTCCTCCCCCTGCCCTCCTCCCCCTGCCCTCCTCCCCCTGCCCTCCTCCCCCTGCCCTCCTCCCCCTGCTCTCCCCCTTCTGTCTGGCCCCCACCACAGTGCGGGCGGGCACAGGAGGGGATGAGGCCGGCATCTGGGCAGGCGACCTGGTGAGTGCATCCTCGCACTGCACCCACTCTTGTTGACTTTTCCTGCTCTGGCTGTGTTGACCGGCGGTGAATGGCATTGACCGGCGTTGACTTGCATTGACCGGCGTTGACTGGCATTGACCGGCATTGACTTGCATTGACCGGCATTGATCGGCATTGATCGGCATTGACTGGCATTGACCGGCATTGACTGGCATTGACCGGCATTGATCGGCATTGACTCGCATTGACCGGCATTGACCGGCATTGACCGGCATTGGCTGGCATTGACTGGTGTTCATGATGCACTCGTTCCCCACCTGACCGACAACAGCAGCAAGCCTTGCATAACGTGGAATAGAACGTCTCCCTTCCCTTGCTCTGCCCTGCAGTTCACTGGACTGCACTGCACCTTGCTGCACCGCACTACTCTGCTATAATTTCTCACAAGCGATGTGCGCCATATTTAATTGATAGTTCTTGCTTTTCACCCTCAATATGCTGCTCCACCCATCTGCACCGCTCTCCACCAGGTGAAGATGTACGGTCGCTACGCAGACAAGAACGGGTGGCGGGTGTCTCCTGTTTCCTGCACTGAGGTCCGTGAGAGAGTGTGGGAGGGGACAGTGATTTAGGGGATGAGCAAGGGAGGTAGTGAGGAGTGAGGAAGTGTACAGCAAGCAAGGTGACCTTTGAGTCGACTCAAAATTCACCTTGGAGAAAGCGGGCGAGCGCATTTACAGCAAGCTCTAGTCAAGCATGGGAGTGGAGAGAGACCCTGCATGTTGCTCCATCTCCTCCCCGCTTCACAGCCGTCCGTCCCCCCCACCCCTCTTCCCCGCAGGCGGAGATGGGGGGGTTCAAGGAGTATGTGATGGAGATAGGCAGCGAGGAAGTGAGCGTGGGTGCAGCAAGCTCAAGTGAAGCATGGGAGTGCGGAGAGACCCTGCACGCACACACCGTGCTCCATCTCCTCCCTTGTCCCGCCCGACCTCTCTCATCCCATGCGCACACAGGCGGAGATGGGCGGGTTCAAGGAGTATGTGATGGAGATAGCGGGCGAGCGCGTGTACAGCAAGCTCAAGTACGAGAGTGGTGTGCACCGCGTGCAGCGCGTGCCTGCCACTGAGTCCGCAGGCAGGGTGCACACCTCCACTGCCACTGTGGCGATCATGCCCGAGGTGAGATTTGGGGAGAGGGGCGATAAGGGTTGGAGGGGGCAGGCAAATGGAGGGATGAGCACAGAGCCCTGCCACTCCCCCTGCCACTTCCCCTGCCGCTCTCCCTTTCTGCCTTTCTTCCCCCCTCAGATAGACGAGGTGGAGGTGGTGAGAGGCCCCAAGGACATGGAGCTCACAGCAGCACTCTCCCTCCCTCCCCCCTCGCTTCCTTTCCTCTGCTGTGCCCCTTTCCCTCTTTCCCTCACCCCCCCATGCCATCAGATAGACGAGACGAGGTAGAAGTGGTGATCTGACTTTTGAGTCGACTCAAAAGTCGACTCGATATAGAGACGAGGTAGAAATGGTGATCTGACTTTTGAGTCGACTCAAAAGTCGACTCGATATAGAGATGAGGTAGAAGTGGTGATCTGACTTTTGAGTCGACTCAAAAGTCGACTCGATATAGAGACGAGGTACAAGTGGTGATCGACCTGAAGGACGTTGAGCTCACGACGGCACGATCAGGAGGGGGGGATGGGCAGAACGTGAACAAGGTGGAGACGGCGGCCTGTTCCACAAGCCCACAGGCATCCTTCATTTTCTCACTCTCCTCTCCCTCCCTCCCTCCCTCCCTCCCTCCCTCCCTCCCTCCCTCCCTCCCTCTCTCCCTCCCTCCCTCCCTCTCTCCACCCCCTCACGTCCGCAGATAGACGAGGTGGAGGTGGTCATAGAACCAAAGGACATCGAGCTCACGGCAGCACGGTCAGGCGGGGCGGGCGGGCAGAACGTGAACAAGGTGGAGACGGCGGCGGACCTGTTCCACAAGCCCACGGGCATCCCTCACTCTCTCCACCCTCCCTCTCACCCTCGCTTCCTTTCCCATGCCCCTTTCTATCACACCCCCCTCACCCATCCCCTCCCCCCCACCCCAAAAGATCAACGAGGTGGAGGTGGTGATCGACCCGAACGACATCGAGCTCACGACAGCGCAGTCAGGGGGCGCAGGCGGGCAGAACGTGAACAAGGTGGAGACGGCGGCGGGCCTGTTCCACAAGCCCACGGGCATCCACTCACTCACCCACCCTCTCCTCCCTCCTTCCCTCACTCACTCACTCACTCCCTCTCTCCCTCCATACAAGCAGATAGACAAGGTAGAAGTGGTTATCGCTCCCAAGGACATTGAACTGACAACAGCACGATCAGGCGGGGCAGGCGGGCAGAACGTGAACAAGGTGGAGACGGCAGCAGACCTGTTCCACAAGCCCACGGGCATCCCTCACCCACTCACTCTCTCCTCCCTCCCTCCTACCCTTTCTCCCTCCCTCCCTCCCTCCCCCATTGCCCTACTCTTCCCCACCTCACATTCGCAGATAGACGAGGTAGAAGTGGTGATCGACCCGAAAGACATTGAGCTCACGACAGCGCGGTCAGGGGGCGCGGGGGGGCAGAACGTGAACAAGGTGGAGACGGCGGCGGACCTGTTCCACAAGCCCACGGGCATCCGCATCTTCTGCACCGAGGAGCGCTCGCAGCTCAAGAACAAGATCCGCGCCATGCAGCTGCTGCGCGCCAAGCTGTGAGTGCCATGCAGCTGCTAAGGGCCAAGCTGTGAGTGGGGGGAGCGTGCGGGGTGGGGGTGTAAGGGGAGATCGGGGGTGCGAGAAAGAGGGGGGAAGGGGTCTGGAATGGAGCGGTGAAGAGAGGAGCGCTCGCAGCTGAAAAAATAGATCCGCGCCATGCAGCTGCTGCGCGCCAAGCTGTGAGTGGAGATGGTTGGAGATGGGGAGGACAGGTGGGAAAGCAGGGAGATATCAAAGGAGGGTCCGGCAGAGCAAGAGATGAATCTAGTCAGCGGCACGGTCACCATGGCGTGCTCTCTTGTCATCTATTCACACTCAATGTCTCCCCTCTGTTCCCTCCTCTCTCAACCCGACCCACTCCGCCACAGTTATGAGCGCATGCTGCAGGAGCAACAGGACGAAGTCAGCTCTCGCAGACGATCGCAGGTGAGGTTCTGCGGTGTAATGTGGCACGAGTTCATTTTGAGGCCTCTGACACCTCCCTCTCAATGCATTTCTCCTCGCCCCATTCCTCCTCATCCCCCCCTCATCACCCTTTGTCACACCCTCATATCCTCTCCCACCCCCAACCCAAGCCTCTTTCTTTTATTAGGCGCCGGAATATTCCTCACTCATCCTCACGCATCACTTTTTTCAAAGACTGAAAAACACGCAACCCAATGGCCTGTTGTGCTTCTCCCTTTCCTTGTCCCGTCTCGCCTGTTCCTGTGCAGGTCGGCACGGGCTCACGTTCCGAGAAGATTCGAACGTACAACTACAAGGTGGGCATTCTGTGCTGGCAATGCAATGGGGTAGGCATGCCTTCTTCGCCAATGGTACAAAGAGAGGTGTGAACGCGTTGCTTCCGGAATGCCATCCAGGAGTCACCATCGCACCAAGATCATCTCTCATGTGCTCCCTGCATTACATGCATATGCATAAAGAAATGCTTTTCATACCTCTCCAACTCTCGTAACACCCAACCCCCCCACCATCAGGAAAACCGGGTGTCGGATCATCGCAACAAGATCAACTCTTTTGTTGTCCCTGTACCCTCATGATAAGACAGCCCCCCTCCCCATCCCCCCACCATCAGGAAAACCGGGTGTCGGATCATCGCAACAAGATCAACTCTTTTGTTGTCCCTGTACCCTCATGATAAGACAGCCCCCCTCCCCATCCCCCCACCATCAGGACAACCGGGTGTCGGACCATCGCACCAAGATCAACTACGATCTCGGCTCGTTCCTCAATGGTGATATTGACAACGCCATCCAGGTGAGGACGGACAATGCCGGTGAGGACAGTCAATGCCATCCAGGTGAGGACAGACAATGCCATCAAGGTGAAGACAGACGATGCCATCCAGGTGAGGACTGGTGATATTTAAGCTGTAACATGTAAGGCTGAGAATGCCACTCAAGTAAGGCTGAGAATGCCATTTATTCAAATAACCCCACTCCCTGTCCGTCCTCTTCTGTTTTCTCTTCTCTTATCTCTTCTGTTTTCTCTTCTGTTTTCTCTTCAGTTTTCTCCTCTGTTGTCTCTTCTGTTTTTCTTTCCCACCCGATCCCTTGCTCCCCTCCTTCCCGCTTGCCCAGTCCATGGTGTCAGTGGCACGCAAGGAAGGAGCACAAGGAGATGGTGGCACTCACTCAAACACAAGATTACCTTTTCGGTCAACTTAACCAGGAGCAGAAGGAGAGGCGCCTCAAAAGCACGCAAAGAAGGAGCAGAAGGAGATCGTGGCACTCAACGAAACGCAAGAGCATCTTCCTTCAAGTCTTGCTGTCTTTTTCTTCTCCACCCACCTCTCCCCCACCCCCCCAGCCCACCAGTCCATGGTAGCGATGGAGCATAAAGAGATGCTGGCTTACCTTCCCTCTCACTAAAGTCTCTCTTCTGCCATGCCATTCCACCCTCTTTCCCCCATCCCCCCCTCTTTCCTCTCCCCCATTCTTCCCACCAGTCCATGGTGGCGATGGAGCAGAAGAAGATGCAGGGTGAACTTCCCTCTGACCAGGTCTCTCTGCTGCCATTCTACCTTCTTCCCCCCCTTCCCCTCTCCTGCCCCCACCAGTCCATGGTGGCGATGGAGCAGAAGGAGATGCTGGAGGAGCTTGCAGCGTCCGTGCAAACCACAGTCTGAGCCTGACAGTATTCAGGCATTCAAAAGTGTAGAATAGCCATTTGAAAGAGAAATTCTGGATGTAGACCGCCAGCCATAGCTTATGGGACCTTAAAGTTATCCTGAATCCAAGGTGATCGCATGCTGGCAGTGGGCAAAGGCAAGGCAAGGGGGGACTGACGCCAGGCTTCTGTGTTGTGTTGCAACTGTTCTAATGTTGCTGTTGTGGTACCGTATTCTCCCGGACATAGCACCCTAGGGTATAGCTAAAAATACAGGGAAAAAATGGGGGGGGTCTCCTCATAGGAAAAAAAATACATAATACCCGGGTCTTTACATATGGTATATTTTAGTGTTAGTGTTTGTTTAATTAGACAATGTGGGTGTTTTGATTTTCATTTTAACATCACTGTCTGAGGCGCGAATGTGGGTTTCGGCCACGAGCTTCATCACCCCCACGAAAATGCCATGTGGCACCTGTCTTGCCACTTGCAGCGGAAGATTCGCCTGCACGTGGTCACAACGAAGTAGTGCGAGGGGGGAAATCTCGGTAGATTGTAAGTGAATGTACCGCGAAATTTCATCTAGGGAGAAATTTTCGCGATATTCTTCAATATTGCAGCTACTCGTTAACGACTATTACCGTATAACGAATTCGTAAGAAAAGGGGGGTGTTATAGAAAATCAGCAAAAAAAGGGGGGTATAGTAGAAACGAGGTCTATCATAACACCCACCCCGCACAAGCTACCCTGGGGTGTACAATTACGGGGGGGTGTTTTGTCCGGGAGAATACGGTAACCCAATTTGTAAAAGCAATTGCCCAACACTTACAGTAGTCTTTGTTGGGCTGAGAAAAGCCCTTAGGATCTTTCAGGACTAAGATCAGGTGTTGACGTAGAGATGTAATTGCGGAAGCGTTTTAATGAAAGTGTGCCTTGAACCACCTTGTATTGGTGTGTGAGAACAAGATAAGTTATTAATAGCAAAGAGATACAAGCCTTTTATATGATTACAAGGAATATGAAGAGTTCTTCTACTTTAACTGTTTTGCTGTTGCGGTTCTGTCAGATTTATATGACATAGCTACTGTAGGCTATAGTGGGGTAGCACATATAGGGTACAGTTGTCTAGGGTTTGCATTTGTACCCAACTTTCCCTTAGTCAATTCATTCTCGTTCAGTTTCTCATGGTATCGAGCAGGTTCCCTGTGGGAACTGTTCCTAGGGCCCACCACCTTTTTTTTCCTGCCCGGAGCGCGCTCTACACTGCCCGAGTCGCGCTCCCCTCTCTCGACCCTGTCGCGCCGCCTTAGCGGCCCCGTCGCGTCGCGCTTGCGGCCCCGTCGCGTCGCCCTTGCGGCCCCTTCACGTCGCGCCGCCCTAGCGGCCGCGTCGCGCCGCCCTCGCGGCCCCGATCCGCCGCCCTCGCGGCTCCGTCGCTTCGCGCCGCCCTCGCGGCCCTTTCACGCCGCCCTCGCGGCCCTTTCTAGCCGCCCTCGCGGCCTCTTCAAGCCGCCCTCGCGACCCCCCCCCTCCTAGCCGCCCTAGCGGCCCCGTCGCCTACCCCTGCGGCCCCGGCGCCGCCCTTCCCTGCCTCGGCGCCGCCTCTGCTGGCCCCGTCGCCTACCCCTGCGGCCCCGGAGCTGCCCTTCCCGGCCCCGGCGCCGCCTCTACTGGCCCCGACGCCGCTCCACCCGGCCCCGACGCCGCTCCACCCGGCCCCGCCGCCGCTCCACCCGGCCCCGCCGCCGTCCCCACGCGGCCCCGCCGTCACCACCGAGCCGCCGGCGCCGCCGAGCTGCTGCCGAGCCGCCCGATCCACCCGAGCCGCCCGAGCCGCCGCGCCACCTGAGCTGCCCGAGCCGCCGGGTCGCCGAGCCGCCGAGCTGCAGTTGCTGCCGAGCCGCCGTACCGCCGAGCCGCCCGAGCCGCCCGAGCCGCCGAGTCGCCGAGCCGCAGTTGCTGCCGAGCCGCCGTACCGCCGAGCCGCCCGAGCCGCCCGAGCCGCCGAGTTGCCGAGCCGCCGAGCCGCCCTGTCCGGTAAGAGCAGCGCCTCTGTCACTGCACTGTTCGCGCTGCTAGTCTACTGCTGTCATGGCTACCCCTAGTGTCCTCGCTTTTGACGCTGAGGGTCGGGCCATTGACTTTGACGTCTGGGTAGATGACCTGCAGCTTTTCCTACAGTGCGATAGGGCAGACGGTCTCTCCCTTTTTGACCTCACCTCTGGTGCCTCTCCTGCCCCTGCTGCTGATGCCGACGCCACTGTTCGCTCACAGTGGGCCACACGCGATGCTGCTGCACGTCTTGCTGTGCATCGCCACCTGCCTACCTCTGAGCGTGTGCACTTTAGCCAGTACAAGAGTGCTCAGACCTTGTACGACGCTGTAGTTGCGCGCTACTCCTCCCCTGCCACTGCTGCACTGAGCCGCCTCATGCTACCGTACCTCTTCCCTGACCTTGCTGCCTTTCCGACAGTCGCTGACCTCATTACGCACCTCCGCACTAGTGACACTCGCTACCGCGCTGCGCTTCCTGCTGAGTTCTGCGCCAAGAACCCCCCCCCCATGTACATCACCCTCTACTACATAGTCACCCGGCTCCCTGACTCCCTTCGCGTAGTCAGGGACCACTTCCTCTCAGTTTGCCCCACCACTCTCACCGTTGACCTCCTCGAGAAGGCCCTCCTAGCAGCAGAGAAGAGCATAGTCGCTGTAGGAGCATCTCGTGGTGACCCTCGCACCCCCGTCTTTGAGGGGTGTTCCCCCTCCCCCCTTTTGCCCTCTGTTGCCTCTGCTGCTGCGGCCGACCTCGTTGGTTTCGAGTCGGTCGGCGCTGCGTCTGCCCCGAGCGGGAGACGCCGCACCGGCAAGGGCAAGGGGGGCAAGGGTGCTGGAGGGGCTGGCGGGGGTGGCGGAGGTGGCGGTGGAGGCAGTGGAGGGGGTGGGGGTGGTGGTGGGAGTGGTGGCGGGGGTGGAGGTGTCGGTGGCGGCAGTGGAGGCGGAGGCGGCGGCGGCAGTGGCGGTGGGAGCGGAGGTGATGGAGGTGGCGGCGGTGGAGGAGGCGGCGGCGGAGGAGGTGGAGCTGGTCAGGGTGGCACTGCGCAGAGGGTCGGCTCCGGTGGTGGTCAGCGCCAGCAGCAGCAGCAGCAGCAGCAGCGCACTCGTGACATCCCCCTCCCTCAGCAGCTCCATGAGTGGTACGCTGCACGCCAGCGGGGTGGGGGTACTGGTCCGTGCACCTACGTCCTACGCACCGGCGACCGCGCGGGTGACCAGTGCGGGGGTGCGCACTCCACCCAGCGCTGCTTTGGCCGCCTGACGGACGCTTGGCGTCACCAGTTCCCTGAGGCCACTGAGATCCCCCGCTGGGGCGAGCTGTCTAGGGCGGGTGTAGCTGTCTTTGACCTTGACTTTGATGCTATTCTTGCTGCCATGTATGCTGTGACTATTAGTGATGAGGGTGACTGTTACCGGTGTTTTCCGCCCGACCCGGGCATTGAGACTGCTGCTCTAGGTACTGGTGAGGCTGCTGCTCTAGGTGCTAGCGAGGCTGCTGATCTAGGTGCTAGTGCGTCTTCTCCCTCAGGTGCTGGTGAGTCTGCTCTCTCAGGTACTGCGTCGGCTTCGGCCTCCCACACCTTCACCCTTGACTCGGGGGCTTCTCGCTCCTTCTTTCGAGACCGCACCACACTCACGCCGCTTGGCCGGCCAGTTGCAGTCTCTCTGGCAGACCCCTCTGGGGGTCCTGTCCTTGCTCACTTCTCCACTGTCCTCCCGTGTCCGGCGGCCCCCTCTGGCACCCTGTCTGGTCTTTACCTCCCCTCGTTCTCTACGAACTTGGTGAGTGGTGCTGACCTACAGGATGCGGGGGTTCACCAGTTCACTCCTGCGAGTCACCGGTTGACCCACTGCACGGACGCTCGGACAGGCCGACACCTGGCCACGTTTACACGTCGGCCGGGGTCGAGCCTGTACACACTGACCACTGCGTCTCCTCCAGTCACTGCGTCTGGTCAGGTAGCTGCGTCGGGTCAGGTGTTTGCTGCAGCGTCCAGGTCTGGTCCTGAGTCTGCCCCCTGTTCGTGTCGTCTCCTGTCTCACGAGACTCTCCTCTGGCACCACCGCCTTGGTCACCCCTCCCTGCTTCGTCTCCGAGGCATGGCCTCCCGTGTCCTTGTCTCTGGTCTTCCCCGGTCCCTCCCTCCCCTTCCTCCGGGGCCTGGCCCTACCTGCGTCCCCTGTGTCGAGGGGTGGCAGCGGGCTGCCCCTCACTCCTCCCAGTTTCCTCCGACAGAGGCCCCGCTGCAGACGCTTCACATGGACGTGTGGGGCCCGGCCCGCGTCCGTGGACAGGGTCACGAGCGCTACTTCCTGCTGGTGGTTGACGACTACTCGCGTTACACCACAGTCTTCCCCTTGCGCAGCAAGGGTGATGTCACTGAGGTGTTGATCGACTGGATCCACGCAGCTCGTCTCCAGCTCAGGCAGAGCTTCGGCTCGGACTTTCCTGTTCTGCGTCTGCACTCTGACAGAGGTGGAGAGTTCTCCTCTGGCCTTCTGCGAGCCTACTGTCGTGCACGAGGCATCCGCCAGACCTTCACGCTTCCGGACTCTCCACAGCAAAATGGGATTGCTGAGCGCCGCATTGGCATGGTCATGGACGTCGCCCGTACGTCCATGATGCATGCGGCTGCCCCCCATTTTCTGTGGCCGTTTGCGGTTCGGTACGCGGCGCATCAGATCAACCTTCACCCCAGGGTCTCCATGCCGGAGACCTCCCCAGCTTTGCTGTGGACGGGGAAGGTTGGCGATGCGTCTGCGTTCCGTGTCTGGGGATCTCGGGCGTTTGTCCGCGACTTGTCTGCGGACAAGCTGTCCCCTCGTGCTGCTCCTTGCGTCTTCATTGGCTTCCCCCCTGACGCGCCAGGGTGGCAGTTCTACCACCCCACCTCTCGCCGTGTTCTGTCCTCCCAGGACGTCACGTTTGACGAGTCGGTCCCCTACTACCGCCTCTTCCCCTA